ATACACTCAATATAACCATTGACTCGAACACATGATTCAATTAATAATTATTACAAAGTTTTTATTTAAGTAGCATTGACCACTTCATTAATTGATTGGATTAAGCAATAGACCAGGTTGTCCCCCTGTGCTCCATTCCGGAACATTAAATAAGAAAATCCTATGCCTCCTTTCAGAAGACATTAATAAACATCCAATGGCAGACGGGCGCGACTCCGTGGTCATAGCTAGTATGAGATCTCATCTAACTCATTATAATTTTAAGAGAATTTAAAACAAGAGACTTGTAGATCAGACGGCCTCTGAAAAGTACACGGCTAATACCTCGTAGACCCCAACCCCTGTTTGTCATTACTCTAGATGTGCACAAATCCAGAGTTTTATTGCTCATCCTTCTTGCACTTTACGTGATTTACCAGTTTAAATTTGGTGATGACTCATATGCAAACAACACAACCAATCATACATCAATCATTCAAATCATTGAAGTTTCCAATTCAATTCTTAATTTATCAGTGACAAACAACATTTATTATTGAATCATTTAACTACCTCGGTATATAAACACCTTAAATGCATAAGACACCTCATATCCACAATCTTGTCTTATAAGACTTTAACTCTTCCTTTACTCATTCCATTTCAATACAAATGAATAAGTAATTAAAATGATTCATTCTATATATCCTTGTATTTTTGACTCTAAGCTCACTTTGCAAATTATTGCATAAATAATGCTCATAAGGAAAATCAATGCAAATTTTCTCATACATAAATTAAACCAATCATCACATTTATCATCGATCAACTCATTACCAAACAATGTCAACCAAGCCACAAGTTCCCTAGCATGATTCTAGGTTTTTTACAAGTCCCTAAACATGCTCCTAAAATCAAGTTTCTCGTATTCTTATACGTACCTTAATTAAATCATCTTTCCAACTAGCCACAATGCTAGAAATTACTCAACTTAAGTCTCCTACAATACCAAATACATAAACTCAATTACTTCCTTGATTACACAAATTTCTACCAACTTTTAAACACATTAAACCTTCTCTAATAAGGTGAAATTTTGGTTTAAAACCTTTAAAACTCTTTCTTTAAGTGGGTAATTAAAACCACAAAGTAAAAACTCATTCATGGTGTTTAAATAAAAATTCCAGCACACTTTTTAAAATTTAAACCCCCCAAATAAATCTGAAAATTATTTTTAAAACATTAACTATTAAAATGATTAGAACGTTGTTTACACACGAAAAACACTATTTGTTTGTAAAAATCGGACAAGTTATAATCTCAGCGTGATTAAAACGGGATAAAAAATAATTAAGAACGGAGATCGGAATTTGATTACCTAAAATTCGTTTTTATGTTTAATAAATCTTTATAAATTCAATACGAATAAAATCCCTAATTTAGTTGATTATTAGAACCCTAAAAATCAACACTTTAATAGTTAAAACCCTAACTTTTAATACTTTATAAAAAATCATAATTTAAAACACTTTACAATATGAAATCTATAATCTTTAATCATTAAAAATCAATTATAAAACATACTAATCACGTTTCAATAATTAAAATCTAAAATCCATAGTATATAATTATAGGAATAATAATTAAAACAAGAGGGGAGATAAGGGTGGCTCACGGTGAGGTGGTTGCCGGCGATTTTTGGGCGGCCGGAGGTGGCTCGCCGGCGGGATGTTGGAGGCGGCAGCAAGGTGGTGCAAGGTGGCGTGAGGTGGGGGTTTGTTTCTCCCAAAACCCTCACGTACAGCATCATAAAAAAAAAGGAAAGAATAAGAAAAGAAGGAAAAGAAAAGAAAATATTACTTACCCCAAAATCTGATTTTTTATCTCTTGTGTGGGAAACCTTTGGGGTATTGAGAGGTATTTATAGAGTAGGGAATAAAGACTAAGGTTGGGCTTAAAAAAAATAGGCTTTAGTTATGAAATATTTGACCCACAAAGGTTCAAATAAAAGAATTGGGCTTACTTAAATGAAATGGGTTGGTCCACAAGGAGTATGTAAAGGTTGTTTACATACTATTATTTAAACGAGCTCAAACGATTAATAAACGTTTAGCCAAAAATAAATTATACTTTTATAAAACTCAATAATTTAAATACTTTAGCCCTTTAAAAATTTAATTAAAATACTTGAGTACTTTAAAAATATATTTTATAATTAATTAAATAATTTATAAAATACATAAAAAATACGGGGTATTACAATTTATGTTCCTTTTGTTGCTCGTTCCTGGACCTAAAAACCCTAAGGGCAACTTGGATGTGTACATGCAACTGTTGATAGAGGAGTTGAAACAGTTGGGGAAGTTGGTGCGCATACGTACGATATTTCCACGAAACAAAATTTCAATCTTCGAGCAGCCATCCTCTGGACCGTTAGTGACTTCCCGGCTTATGGTACATTGCCCGGTTGGGCCACATCTGGTAAGAAAGCTTGTCAATATTGCATGGACAAAAGTAAAGCATTTTGGCTAGAATATGATTGTAAGGTTTCTTGGTTTAATTGCCACCGCCAGTTCCTTTCGACAGAACACCCTTTTCGGAATAGTAGAACTGCGTTCTGTAGAAACAAAGTCGAAATGGGTGCACCTCCACATATTATGTCAGGAGAGGAACTGTGGGAATGTGTGATTGACCTTCCGAAGGCTACATATGGGCCCGAGTCACTTCAACGCCTCAAAAAAGAAAAGAAGGGGTGGTTCAAGCAAAGCATACTGTGGAAGCTTTCGTATTGGAAGTATCTGCGTATTTGTCACAACCTGGATGTCATGCCCATTGAAAAAAATTTCTTTGATCAGTTAGTTCACACTGTAATGGATGTGAAAAAGCATACGTGTGACACGCCATCCGCTCGAAATGACATTGCCAAATATTGTAAACATCCGCAGCTTCATCTTCAGGAGGATGATAGAGGAAAAAAGTTCATGCCAAGGGCTCCATTTGCTCTTGACAAGGCTCAGAGAAATGTTTTGTGTGAGTGGGTTAAATAGTTGCGATTTCCCGATGGTTACGCCTCCAATTTGAGCAGATGCGTGGATATGCAAGCATGTAAGCTACACGAAATGAAAAGGCATGATTGTCACGTGTTCATGGAGAGGTTGTTGCCTACTGCTCTGAGGGAATTTCTCCTTTGCCATGTTTGGAATGCAATAACAGAGATCAGCCATTTCTTTTGCGATTTGTGTTGCTTTACAACATCGATTAGTGACATGGAGCCATTGGAGAAAAACATAGCTGAGATCCTATGCAAGCTTGAGAAGTTCTTCCCCCCTGCATTCTTTAACTCCATGGAGCATTTAACAATTCATTTGCCATATGAGGGGAAGTTATGTGGTCCTGTTCAATATAGATGGATGTATCCGTTCGAAAGATAAATCAAAGACCCATACACATCCTATTTTTTACATCAAATTCAATGTCATGTCGTGTTTATACATTTACATCACTATGATTGCAGGTTCCTCAATCATTTGAAACGAAAAATTGGAAACAAGGCTCGAGTTGAAGGATCCATTTGCAATGCTTATCTCACCGAAGAGATAGCAAACTTCTGCAGTAACTACTTTCAGGCGACGGTTGACATTAAAACACGAGATCTCGGTCGAAATGTGAATGCCGACGTGGACTCCATAGTGGACGATGCTGAAATTCCAGAGTTGTTCATGGAGGATAGCGGTCGTGTGTCAAATGAGGGCAAAACTCGGTATTTAGATGAAAAAGAACTCGAGTGCGCTCATCTGTTCGTGTTACGAAACACCGGCATTCTTGGTGAATACGAAAGGTATAATCTAGTTTAGGAATGAAGTGTAGTTGGATGATATGATCAACTAAAATGATTACAATGTTGACTTACATTAATTTTGGCCTCATAGGAAGTTCGAGGACTACGTTCTTAGTACTCGACCTTATCTGCGTAGAGAAGAAGTAATGGAGAAATGCGAAGCTGAATTCCCTGATTGGTTTCATCGTAAGGTGATGTACACTGTCTAAACTTAGGAAAATTATGATTTACTATTTGTTGCTATTTAATTTACTCATTTAGGGAAGTGTGACGGTTATATTCAAAACTTTTATAGGTTGTTGAGGACGAACAAAACTCGGATGTGCTGCGAGCGTTGTGCATGCACCCTTTCAAGCGTGTTCGAACTTGGAAGTAGATTTTTGTCGGTGGCTTTAAGTTCCATACACATGCCCATGGCAAGCACAAATCTACGATGAATTATGGCGTGTGTGTATCAAGTGAGGATGGTAGAGAGTACTTCGGCATTTTAGACGACATTATTAAACTAGTCTACACTGGTCCCGAAAAAGAGTACAAGACTATTTTGTTTAAGTGTAGTTGGATGGATTGTGGTAGGGGAATGAACATACATGAATAGTACAAGGTTGTCGAAGTGAATCATACTAAGAAATACCTTAAGTACGATCCCTTTGTTTTATCTTACCAAGTGACTCAAGTGTACTACGCATCATAACCTAGCCTGAAACGGGATCGAATACAATGGTGGGCTGTTTTTAAAACACAGGCAAGATCAGTGGTTGATGCTCCGGTGGACTTAGAGTTCTTGAAGGCACCATCCCCACAATTACATGCAACGCTTTGCCCACCGAATGATATTCCAGACTATGTCCAAGATGATGATGATGACGATGGCTTTGTTATCTCGAGCGATGAAGATGATGAATCTAGCATCAACTCTAGTGATAGTGACGAGGACGATGATATCGATGTATTATTAGATGGTAGTAGTGATGATTCCAGTAGTGGTAGTAGTAGTGATGACATTAATGAATAGGGGAATATGTTACTCTCCTTTGAATTTGCTTATTATTGTAAAATAGACAAATGACTTGGTCTTTTAATAAATGGATCATTACTTTTACGCTGAAATGTAATTAGATTGTCTGAGTCACTTGTAACTTATAATATGCTGTAATGTTATTAACAACAATTTCAGGTGATCATGGCGGGCGGTAAAGACAAAGGTAAACGGACAATGGAGATCAACTCTTCCAATGAGGACATGGAGGATGCACATGATTTGGGTACTACTCAAGGCCCACTTCCAGCTCTTCACGAGATCAGACACATGAGCGTTCACAGTTGCCGGAATTACACCCTACTGTGCTCTGGTACGTACATACATTCAATGAATTGGGATTATAATCTTTTTTTGAGAAGTTAACCTATTTATTACTTGTAACAAGTTTTGCAATACGCTTTGTTGATGATCATCTAACTTTGTGGTTTCCTCATTTCATGTAGGTTTGACGACAACAAGGTGAGGAATGCGGTCTCCGGGACGCTAACCGGGTACTATTGACAGCCTTGGAGGAATTACGGGGAGGTGGATGCAGCAACCGAGGAACACTAGTGTAACCTATTCTGCGTAAGCGATTATAAACATAATTGAAAACATGTTTTATGAAAATACTGAGATGAAGTTGAATATATGACCTACAAAGTTTATCATTTGCAGAAAGAATTCACGTGCGCACCTCAATTAACCGAGGATGTGAAGCACACTTTTGAAAAGAAGCTTGCTACTAGGTTACGTGACATGTTCTACACAGTCACGCACAAGATGAGAGGCGCAAAGCCAGGCTGGCTCATTGAGGACGTCCACAAGAAAATGATGGATATTGTTGCCGCCGATTCAACTTACAAGAAGAGGTCGGCCCAAAACAAGAAGAACAGGAGGGGCGGCTCAATGGAAAATCCGATTGAAGCTACCCACTATCAGGGTTCGATGTCAGCTGTACAACATGCTAAACGGATGGTAAGTTTGTTGAATATGCCGGTAAAATAGAAGAGTATTGTGTATTACTATGTACAGATGCTCTAACATTTACTGTTTATCATTTTCTGCATGTATAATCAAAGGCGGCGAAGAATAAAGGCCAGCTCCTAACAGCTCATGAGCTGTTTATGAAGACGCACTTCAAGGAAGTGCCTGGGAAAGGCACAGTACCAGCCAACACCAAAGCACAGCATATTGCGGTATTAACTTTAATAACACCTAATACTATTATATGCATGTTATAAGAAAGATCTATTTGTTTTTGTGATTTCAAGGAATGTACATCTAAAACTACCTATAATATGCATGTTATGAGAAAGAAAAGGTCCATTAGGTCAGAAATGATGAAAATAGGGAACAAATTGGTCATGTAGGGGTCTTTTGGTTGAATTTTTGTCCAAATCGTCCCCGGAACTTGGGGACATGGTTGTTTTAGTGATTTCAAGGCATGTGCACATAAAAATACCTATAATATGCATGTTATGATAAAGAAATGGTCCATTTGGTTAGAAATGTAGAAAATAGGCAAAGAATAGGTCACATAGGGGTCTTTTGGTTGAATTTGGTTCAAAATCGTTCCCAAAACATAGGGAGTAGGTTTTTTTTTTGTGATTTCAAGGCATGTACACCTATAACTACCTATAATAGACATGTTATGACAAAGAAATGGTTCATTTGGTTAGAAATGTAAAAAATAGGCAAAGAATAGGTCATATAGGCCTCAGTTGGTTATATTTAGGTCCAAATCGTTCATAAAACTTAGGGAGTTAGTTTTTTTTTGTGATTTCAAGGCATGTGCACCTAAAACTACCTATAATAGCCATGTTATGATGCAGAAATGGTTCATTTGGTAAAAAATGTATATAATGGGCAAAGAATAGGTTGTATAGCCCTCAATTTGTTGTATTCTGTTAAGAATTTTGATTTTAACTTACATATGTGTATCTTGTAGGAGGCCTGCCAGAAGAAATTTGAAGAAGCAAGCACCCAAGGGATTCAGAAGAGTCCAAATGAGTTGTATTGGGAAACTGTAGGTGGTCGCAACAAGAAGGGTCGTGTGAAGGGACTTGGCCAAGGTGCAGAGCTGTATTATGGCGACAAGAAGGGTTCTAAGTCATCCCAGCAGTACACGCCTTCCTTTCTTTCCCAGATGCAGGATCAGATGGACTAGAGGGTGGAGCAGAGGTTGGAGGAGAGGGTGCAAGCTATGCGGAGTGAAATAGAAGTCGAGATGGAGACTCGATTGGCCGAAATAAAAAGGAGAAACCAAGAGAGTTATGAAGAGATGATGCGTCGATTCTCCAGCAACGACCCATGTTCCAACATTCCACATCAGCGTCGAGACCCCAAGAATGACCCGGGTAGAGGCGGTTCAGGTTAAGGTACTCCGGCTGTAGCTTAGCATTTGTGTATATAGTATGTACATGTATTTAGATTTAGATTATGTTGTATAGTTGCACAAAATGTATAAATTATTATAAATAAATATATAAAACTATTTTCGTAATTAAATCGTCAATTCAAAGTAATCTTGGTGTGGAATTAAACCCCTTAACTTAATAAAGAATCTAAAATCACACAAGTAACACAAGCCCTTCATATTTCCTAAGAAAATCGAACAACTTAAGAATAACGAACCGGATATGACTTTGAAAACGACCACTCCTGGAACAAATTCAACGCCTCTCAAATAACCTAGACCACTCCTGGAACTAAGTACTTTGATGAACAAAACTTAGACTACTCCTAGAACTAAGAATTGAACGTTCTAATTATCAAAACAACTCCTTGAATTGAAAATTAGCAAAAGAATTTGTAAGCAATTAAGCAAAACAAACAATTAACTTGAATTTTTAATGATTTTCGAATGTTATTGAAAAATCACGAAAATTACATTATTTATAAACTAAAACTAACTATTCCTAAGTCATTCGAACTAGGAAAAAACCCTAGCCTTGATCCCCAAGTATCCTAGATAGAATGGGAAAACCAATTCTAATGGAACTAGGAAACTAGTAATAAGACTAGTCCTGAAACTTCTTAAAACAATTCCTAATTGACTTAGAAATTATTTTAAACTAAAATAACAGAAATTAAGAAGAATCCTAATTCAAATAGGAACTCACTTTGTTAAAAGCAAGTTCTAATCAACTTAGGAACTCACTTAATGAAAACAATTTCTAATTGAAATAGAAATCCTATGTGCTTAAAACAAGAAAAACCCTTTCAAGTGAAAGGTAAAAACTTGTAAGAAAAACTCTAAAAACTAAGTAATGAACTACGCATCTTCTTCAATGGCTACGCATGTTAACCATTCTTGATTCTTCCCTCCAATTTCGAACCCTATAGGACTTAAAACCAATATGATTGACTCTTCAAAAGAATTTCCCTCTTGATTCACATCATTCTCCCCTTCTTCAAAAGAATTTGTCCTCAAATTCGAATCATCCATGTAAGGAGAACAATTCCATGAAACCATCCAAATTCGACGAATACTAGCCAAAAGAACTATTACCTCAACGCTAGCAATTTTAGGCAATGTAACAACATCACCACGAGCAAGGCAATATTTTAGAAACAACCAATTCTCAATTTGGTCCTTGATCTTCGAAGTTGACCATAAGAACACTTTAGGCTTCATGATTTCTTTCTCATGTATGACTAACAATTTCTTCTCTTTATGCATGCCTAATGAATCCACCACTTCTAAAGAAACCATTAAAGTATTATCTTAATTCACGAATGTCTCCTCAATAGTATCAAAAACCTTTTCCGACACCACTATTGGTAGATCATTATGAATAATCTCATCTTGAACAACGTCACACACAATTGGAACATCAATTGTTTCACTCACCTTTTCTTCGAGCTCTTTAGCACCTACATGTTCCTCTTCCTTATCCTTTTGACAATCTTCCTCCATCTCTTTAACTTTAACGCGGCATGGAATAGTAGTTAAAGGAATAAGTTTGAACCTCTTGTTTCCCACCTTGACCGAATATGTGTTGGCCACACCATCATGTTTAACATGTCGATCAAATTGCCATGGTCTTCCTAAAAGAACGTGACCAGCACTCATAGGAATCACATCGCACCATAATTCTTCCTTATAATTGCCAATGGAGAAATTCACCAAAGCTTGTTGTTCTACATGAAAACCCATAGAATTATCTATCCAACCCAACTTATATGGTTTTTCATGATCTCTTGTAGGAAGTTGTAGTTTAGTAACCATCTCTGTAGACGCAACATTGGTACACGAACCACTATCAATGATCACCCTACAAGTTCTATCATCAACTTTGCATCGATTATGAAACAAAATATCTTGTTGACCTTGAAAAATAATTTCTTCATGTAAATTCAGTCGCTCCATAAGCATATGTTTGTTACCAAAGCCAAAATCTGCGTTATCGTCTTCATGTTTTTTCTTCTTTTTATGACCTTGAAGTAACTTTGTGAATTCATCCATAGATTTTCGGATCCCTTCCTCCATAATTATGTGCAAAAAACAGACATAAAAGACCCCAAAACACACAGGAATAACCCTCAAAATTGCAACACAACTTGGAAGAAAATCTCACATAAAGAGCACTAAGTATCAAATCGAACCAAAACTGACACAGTTGCGGAAAACCGTCCAGTTTAATAGCAAAAGAACTCAAAAAAATCTGAAATTTCACAGGCATAAAATAGAAAACATTTCACCCAAAATCAAAAAACGAATCGCCTCAAAAGACCTCGTAACGAAGGAGAACGAGCCCTCTGAAGTTTACAAAATACCAGAAATCCGAGAACGAGTGCGCCTTGTAAGAACGAGTTGTGGGACGATCAAAATCTCCCCAAATCTGATACCAATTTGATGTGGATTTAAACCCCTTAACTTAATAAAGAATCTAAAATCACACAAGTAACACAAGCCCTTCGAATTTCCTAAGAAAATCAAACAACTTAAGAATAACGAACCGGATATGACTTTGAAAACGACCACTCCTGGAACAAATTCAACGCCTCTCAAATTACCTAGACCACTCCTGGAACTAAGTACTTTGATGAACAAAACTTAGAATACTCCTAGAACTAAGAATTGAACGTTCTAATTATCAAAACAACTCCTTGAATTGAAAATTAGCAAAAAAATTTGTAAGCAATTAAGCAAAACAAACAATTAACTTGAATTTTTAATGATTTTCGAATGTTATTGAAAAATCACGAAAATTACATTATTTATAGACCAAAACTAACTATTCCTAAGTCTATTCGAACTAGGAAAAAACCCTAGCCTTGATTCCCAAGTATCCTAGATAGAATAGGAAAACCAATTCTAATGGAACTAGGAAACTAGTAATAAGACTAGTCCTAAAACTTCTTAAAACAATTCCTAATTGACTTAGAAATTATTTTAAACTAAAATAACAAAAATTAAGAAGAATCCTAATTCAAATAGGAACTCACTTTGTCAAAAGCAAGTTCTAATCAACTTAGGAACTCACTTAACGAAAACAATTTCTAATTGAAATAGAAATCCTATGTGCTTAAAACAAGAAAAACCCTTTGAAGTGAAAGGTAAAAACTTGTAAGCAAAACTCTAAAAACTAAGTAATGAACTAAGCATGTTCTTCAATGGCTACACATGTTAACCATTCTTGATTCTTCCCTCCAATTTCAAACCCTATAGGACTTAAAACCAATATAATTGGCTCTTCAAAAGAATTTACCTCTTGATTCACATCAAATCTTAAATTAGGTGCAGGATATTAAATTAATTCATTATTTTTTGCTAAATATACAGGACTATTCCGACGGATTTTTTCGTCGGAACTTATACTATTCCGACAGACTTTTTCGTCAGAAAATATAATCTTCCGACGGAATTTTTCGTCGGAATAGTATACGCTTCCGACGGATTTTTTCGTCGGAACGGTATAAGCTTCCGACGGAAATTTCTGTAGGAATAGTATATGTTCCGACAAAAAAAATCCGTCGGAAACTTATACCATTCTGACGAAAAATTCCGTCGGAAGCTTATATTTTTTGACGGATTATTTTTCGTCAGAAGATTGCGATGGACTCTCGTTTAAAGTCAAATCCAGCTCCGACAGAACTTAATCCGTCAAAGATTCTGTCAAAAATGGGCCTTCCGACGGAATTTTCCTCGAAAAACGTTGATTTTCCTACGAATTGTCTTGCGACAGACATCTTCCGACGGAATTCCGTTGGAAAGCCTTATTCCGACGGATTTTTCGATGTTTCCGACTGAATAATTCCGTCGAAATCCAGCTGTTTTCTTGTAGTGTCTCCATTAGTTTCTTTCCTACGGCTTTGACAGAAGCTTCATTATCTGTCACTATTTTAACAACTTTCTCTTCCCCTATCTCTTCTACTACCTTCTCCATCAAACTTTAGTAGTAGTTTGTATCTCTACAATACACATCTGTTGCATCAACTGATTTGTGAAAAACAGTACCACGAACCGAATACACAAGAAAGTTTATAATGTGCATGTTTGTTGGCCCTGACCAACCATCATACATTATTGTGACACCTCTTTCATTCCACTCCGAATCAAAGGATTTGATGTAATTTTTCATCTCCTTACATTCTTCTAGGAGGTACACCTACAAATATATGAATAAATACTGTCAATATTAATAGTTACACAAAATATTATATATAAATTGAATATTTTTTTTGCACAAATGAAATGTGTTCATTTGCGTAATAGTTAATTGTACCTGAGATAATTCATAAGCCGAGGGAGCTCGAACATTAGGACACTCGCGTATAGTATCCATCAGTGGATTAGTGTAAGGAGACTCGATTGTCTTGAATGGTAAATAGTATCAATCTTAAAATTACCAAATGCCTTTAGAATTGATTTTTTTGCCTTCTTCAAAAGCGAAGTGTTAATTTTTGTTTGTTTTTTCTTTTGACAATCCTTTTCCAATTCAATCTCGCGTGCCCTTAATCTGGCAATAACATTTGATGGTACTTCAACTGGAGTGTATCTACCTCTTCCTTTCCCAACTCCAACTTTGTGAACAGATGAAGATCGGTTCATTCGTGAGGGAATACCACTACTACCAGCTTCGTGATATTAATTATTTCTTGGATTATAATAATCAAACTCATGTTGCTCTCTACTTTGTTGCATAGCATATGTCAATTCAA